CATGTTGTGTTTTATTTTTGCTCTAAAATGACATGAAAACTTAAGAAGGCGTGGCACTAAGCAGATCCATGCAACTTCCTCACAATCGAGTAACCCACAATATCGCAGCACACAACACAACTCACGAGGGGACTCTTTGTGTTGAAGAATTTGCATGGGTCCGCCAAGCATGAGCGAATATATTGTTTATTTACCATACTTATTTTATACTTATTGTATAAATACAATTAAGTATAAAATAATTAAGACACAAGGTTGCTAAAACGACTCGGCGAAAGATCTGTATGGAGTTGCTGAAAATGTCCTTCGAGTAATTTTTCATCACAATTCTATCGTAAATCTTATGTAACAAATATATTCAGCGATAGCAGTTATACTCGTAGTGTGTGAGTAAACAATGCTATAAAAAACTCAGCCTTAGTCATGTGATTGTGAATATCACTTAGATATAGTCTGTTATACCTAAAATGCTTGCTATCCCTACAATTTAATACAAAATGATGCTGCGTCTGCGCATGCACTCGGGTCGGGTCAATAACCGCACGACCTCATCTGCCGTCTATTGTTGTGCTCTTGACCTATTAGAGTCTCACGTGAAAGCTTGAAGCTCGAATGATTCTTTGAAAGCGGTTTAAGTATTTTAAGACGCAAGTTGGAACAATCTTATTTTAGTATTGAATTACAGGAAAACATCGAAATGTTTATGTTACGAATTCAGAGAACCGACAAATGTAAAATTATTTTGAATTCCTATGAATAACTGCTACTGTAAATATGTGTGGTTTTGTTTTAGTCCGTTTTAAAATATACATAGGTCAACACATACATGATTTGTGTACTGTTTTTATACTATTGGAAATTTTTAGGATGAGATTTAATAACTTACGACAAATTGTTGTTTAACTTTTCTTCCGGAATTATCGGAGATAGACATTTAAATAACGCTATAAGGCTCACGTAATTTACAGTATTAGAGGCACTAAACCTGTTTCAGGCTAGAGTACACCCAGCCCCTGAGATAAATGTCATGGCTTGCACGCACACCAGTCACGTACGTACCAAGTAAATCACGTTGTAGATGCCATGTAGCAATTTACTTAGGGCTTATCCGTTTTCTCTTGCATCCGTATTCGCAGAGGGTCTAATGCCTACAGTGTGTCTCTGCCAAAGGTCGGCTGCATATTGTGCATTGTAACACAAAGTATTTAGTTTAGTCTCATTTGACTATTAAATTATCTGTGGCTGTACATTTAAAAGAAGCAATTTAGCTACAAAATTTAACACCTGATTAGTTAACAGTGGTTTATAGTGCTAGTGGACGCTTGAGGTGTTTGAACTGATTTTTAACATGTATGGGGAACTGGATGAACAACTCTGTGTACCCATGATAATTAAACATAGTATATGTAAACTAGCAGCGAATGGAGAAAGAAAGCCATATTTGGAAAAGCTGGAGAAGGCTTTTGTGAACCCGTGAAGGGGTTTTAATCAACGGTACTGAAGGAATTTAGGATATTTATAAATATATATAATTTTTATAACAAATCTAAACTGTACATTTGTAATGATTGGAAATAAAGGCTTTATTATTATTATTTTGACATATAAATGATTGTAGGTAATGTAGTCAAAATAAAACTTCATATGTGTTCAACATAATTATTAAACTAAAAATGAATTTTTGTTGTGTAAAAAGTTATAAGCTTAAATTATTCGATTCTAAAAACGTATAGAATAAAAAACCTACAATGTTTTCTGTTCATTAACCGTCTTCATAAGAAATCCTCTTCCCCTCTTTTTAAATATTCAAAGATCATTCAAAGGTAAGTAGACCGACACGTATCTTTACGTCAAATTTGGAATGTGAGAAAACCCTAAAACGAACTTGACTTCTGTGCACCTAATGACAGTGGCTAACTTATATTATGGACATCTTCGTTCTGACGTATTCAATTTCTTTAATGAATACGTAATCTGATATTCGGTCACTGCAACAGTGCTGCCAGTTAACGCCTCGACCGCTCTAAACAGTACAGGACTGTATGGTTAAAGTTTTTTGTACTATGTAAATCCGAACGTTCAAGTATAACGCAATAAGATGCAATCCTTACATGAATCATGCGCACTACCTAAAAATCCCTTGTTTACAAGCCGAGAGCAGCCGATAACGATTTACGTCAAAACACTTTTGGCTTCGTATCAAGTGCATCATTGATTCACTATGCTAAATATAAAAACACCCTTCTCGTTTCTATGCTAGGGGAAAAATAAGGACGTAATATAATCTCGTTAAAAGGTTTGATGACGTCCGTTCATTCAATTTCAGGGAGTGCGTTGCCCTTATAAGGGCCTTGGCTGCTATTTTAAGAATACGCCATATCGAATAATCAGGCATTTTTTTAAGATTATTTTTATATTTAAGAAGTCAAGTCTAAACCGGCCTTACTTGTTTCTTACAAAGGAAAACTAAAGTAAAAACTAAATCCCTAATAACTATTACTAACTAACTAGCTACTAAGTGTCTGATTGTAACAGTTAGCCAGATATCAGTTGAACAAATTTGTATGTAAGAGATAGTCAAGTATAAGGAAAATTATCTAAGTTACACATCCGAGGTATAGCATAGTTAGGGCTTAGGATGGTTCTACGAAAGAGAGTAGCAGAAGGTTTAATTGGAAAACTAGGGAGAAATCGAAATCAAAAAATAAATCCTTAAATTTTAAATGGCTGGCATTAGTCCTTCATACGGCGGTAAAAGTATATTTAAAAGCAATACATTTTATTTATACAGGGTGTCCCAAAAGTCGACGTCAAGTCGAAATTTTCTCATAGGTAATGCCACACCAGTTATCAGAAAAATTAAAAAAAAAAAGTCATGTATTTTTGAAGTTATGGATATTTTTTTGTTATTCCAGAAAATGCACACCATGTGACAGTTTTTTCATTCCTGTTGTTACAAATATTTACTTTTTGCCAATTTTTTTTCTCTTACGTCATCCCGAATAGTGCTTTATGTAACCTATGATCCTAAACTCTGTGCTGATCACTCCAACTTTTAGGAAAATGTCATTTTATACCGTACCAAGTTTTCAAAATTAATTTTCGCACTACTTCAACTGATCGTCCTGAAAAAAAAATGTATTAGGTACTCCAGTTTGGCAAGTAGCTTTGAAAGTTAGCGCATTTAATAAGGATTCTACAGTGGTATAACACTGATTCCATTATTTCTTAGATCGGCCATAATAATTTGTTGTTAAACATAGACTGTTTTTTAAAAATTTCTCTGGAATTACAAAAAACGATTCTAGTGTACCCAAAGCGTTCCTAATAACCACAGCGTGGTTTAAATAAGATGGCGTAAAGTGTGAGCGAGACAGATAGTGATATAGGTTATGACAATTATAACTTTAAATTTAAAATTAATAGTTGCAGTCGTTTTACGAGTAAATGTATGAGTAGCATACAAAAAAGTCCTAGTTAATATTCAAGAAACTATAAAATAAAGGAAATGTTTAGGAAACGGTCTAATTCCCTGCCGTACATCATGTCGATATCAGAAATAGCCTGAACTTGGAGCCCAGCCAGCGGAAAGCGGATATGACGTATCGATGCTTTGTAAATAACGACGTAAAATACATCGTATGGGTTTTTTGGTTAACGCGTCAATATGGACAAAAATAAACCGCAATGTTTAATACGCTTATCGTTATAATTGAATGGGGATGTCCACTATTCTTCCGTAAATTATTCCCAAATGCGATTATGGTCTTTAAAGTTAGAGAGATACGCAACTCGCACCCAAAATCAACAAGCTTATCTAGTCCTAAATTCATAAGATTTCTGGAGAAACGTAATAGTAACTAAGTTATACCGTCTTCGTTAATTCTTACAGCGCGTCTGTGCCTGAACCAGGAGATCCGGGCTTTACATCCCGGCAAAACCAATATTTCAGGAGCGTAAGTATAGAGCCTATTTGCCACTTGAAAAAACACAGAAACAGGCACAAAAATCTATCTCTATCGGCACACGAGAGTTCAAAAACAGCCTGTTAAAATAATGCGATTACAATCTAAAACAAAAATGTAACTTTAAAATATCTTCTCTTTTATAGTACGTTTTTTTATTGTTGTTTCAATGAACAGGTACTTTATTTCACTGTCCGCATATTGACGGCAGCGCTTTTTATTGTATAGGTACGTAAATTTGTTTGTCCTAACTTTGTGGTCCAAATAAAAAAAATCTAATCAGATAATGCTAGTTGAGGTAAACAAAAGCGAATGTAAACATAGATTTTTTACATGCCTTACTTGACTTAATTGTATGACAAAGAGATAAGGCTGAACAGGATATGTCAGGTAACTGTAAATAACGGTACTTGATGGTACAAACTCGTGTAGTATATTGAGTAAGAATGCATCTTCTATTAATTGTCAGTCTCTCAAAATCAGTCGGGATAATGTATCCTTATTTGTTTGATATTAAATCAACAGTTGAAATAACTAATAAAACCGTAACAGTTAAAGGAGAGAGGTCGCCTCGAGATTGACCCAAAATAGGTATATATAAGTAAATGCCAACTCAGCTCTGCGATAGAAATTAACAAAGGCAACTTGCCTTTGCATTCAATTTATTAGTTAATAAAACGTCAAAATTTAGAACTGTCAAATTTCATAAATTAGATTTGTTCTATAACTATAAGGTATATAATTAGGAAGCCTAATCATACGACATGTTCTTAAACTAAAATAAAAATTCGTTGCCTCCTGTGAGGATTGAACTCACGACCCCTGGTTTACGAGACCAGTGCTCTACCACTGAGCTAAAGAGGCTATATGTAGCCTTCGCCAAATAGGCCAACAAGTTACATTGAAAATATTCATAAGAAATAAAAAATAGTAAATTAAAAATAATTGTTACTTGTAATCGATTGGTTATAAGAAAAAGTAATTAATATTTAATCGCCAACCCTAATCAACGGGCAACTAGGTAATATTAATAAATTAAATTTGAACACTAAGAACGTACCTTTGCGATGGTGAGGATTCATCTGAAAAAGAGATTTCTTCTGATAAATATCTTCAGGCTAGAACAGAACTTCTCCGTACTTAACGAAAAGAAGTTCAACCGAAATATATTCTTACTAAATCTTAAAAATTATTCTTATGTCAAATATTTAACAAAACAAAAGAACTGCCGAAACCAGGGATCGAACCAGGGACCTTTAGATCTTCAGTCTAACGCTCTCCCAACTGAGCTATTTCGGCTGATACTAATGTTTTAAAATTTATGATCATTTTCTTTCAGTTAGCCTACGAAATCATTGAGTAATATAATTTTAGAAATTCGGTATAGCACCAACTGAATAAAGTAGGAGGTATTGTACTAACGGCAAATATTAATTAAATTATTTATAAATAGAGAAATAGTACAAATAGCGACATCTAGTTTAATAATGAAGTATTATTCTAAAAGCTACATAATAACCACACCAAGTAGATACTATCTTACACAATAGATGGCGGTATATAGTAACAACCGAAATACTTTAACTAATATCAGATGAATGCTAGGTTTAAAAAAATATGTATATAGGTAGTTTTGACTTATTCCTGTGATAGTTTACTATGTAGTATATTATAATTGATTATGATATAATATATGTCTATCAAATATTATGCCAAGAAACATTGGTAATATGAAGATAGGTATATGAATTAATATGATAAACTAAATGATTGCAAGGTAAAAAATATACCTATTTTCTCAGCCTGAACGGCCTTGTCAGCTGCTACTTTTCCTTCTTCATTTAGCAATACTCCGCATGATTGGTATAGCCGACCACAGAGGTTTTTAGTCTTTTGTATATTCCCATATTCTTTTATTTCCTCCTGAAAGTGATTTTATATATTTGTGAGAAGATATTTCAAACATGATTTAATGTATTTGTGTTCTTTTAGTTATGTTACTTTACAAATGTATAGCAAATCAATGCCATAATTATAAAGTTCTTATAGATAATTGGCGACTTTACCTTCAATTCTTTTAATCTGGTGTGGGACCGACTTGAATAACACTGTCTAACATGACTTAGACTTGATGATAAGTCTACTTCATCCAAATTCAGAATCGCTGGCGCCGAAGATTGAGCGTGAAGATTTTTAGCACTTTTCACATTTTTTATTTGAAGAGAAGACTTTTTCAAATCTAAAGACTGCAGAGTTCTTTTGGGTTTCGTACTGTGTATGATTTTTTTAGACTTAACATTTTGAGGAATGTAGTCACGCAATACTGTTGGAAGTTCACTTATTACACCGGAACTCAAGTTTGAAATACTTGCTTTGCCGCCGAGACGTACGGAAGAAGTGTCGTGGCGGGTAATGTTTGGATTTGATTTTAAACTTGAACGAGATATACTGTTAACACGCGGCATAACCCTATCATAATAGTTTTTAGTTTTATGCTGATTTCTTTCCATTTTAATGGTAGTATAAGTAACGAAATTAAATAGAATATAGTTCAGTTGGAATAGTCAGTGAAGCAAAACAATAAACATTCTACGATATCGCCAGATGCCAGCAGACAGACTGACTATAACGTCAATTGTCATTAATCACTATCGGCATTTATATATAGTGTAAAAACATTTGATGCAACAAGTAGGGCCTGTGGTACATTACATCTTTTACATAATATTTACCTACCTAACAACAAAAGGATGAGGTTAAATTTTTGACGTGTATTGATTTACTCTTTACAGGCACCAGCTTTGGCAACTGCCAAAAATATAATACACAAAAACTTCAAAATTAGCAAAGGTTTACTTACACTAACCATATGTTGCTATAATCAGTTACATTTGAAAGTAAGAATGTAAATTGCTTTAATATTTATATATTGCAATAGCTCAAAGAATATCATTCAAATCCCATTAGTTACAAAATAATGGTGGTGTATGTTGTACCAATGTTGTTTTAACAATAAAAAATAAGGTGACTTTTTATCTATTTATTGACTACAAGAGTAACTTTACAATAAATGCTTTTAATTTCCTAGAAGTTCTTTATTTTTTATTTCATATATGTTTTTTGCATCTGTTTGATATTGTTCACATAAAGCAGTTATTTGTTTTACAATACTATAAACTAAATCTTCTGAAACACCTGTCTGTTTTTTACTCTTCTTAATGAATTCATTTTGAATGTCCTTCATAGCATCTCGACAATTAATATACAAAGCTTTTGCATTCCTTGCCAGGGCCTCCCTATGCTCTTTTGTCACTTTAGGTACGGGCACATACAACCTAGTTCCATCTTGTTGTGGATTTAAGTTTAATCCTGAGCTATGAATTGCTTTTAAAACATCTGGTATGACTTGAGGAAATGATGAAAAGTCTATAACAAGGGTTTTTGGATTTTTTCTTATGATCTGAGCGAGCTCCTGTAACTCATAATCTTTGCCTTCATATTTGATTGGTAAGGATTCTATTGAGCCTGTTGTAGATCTTAGTGATAGATTCTTTGCAAAATCCTCTCGCATTTTTTCAATTGAGGTTTGGCATCTACTTTTTAGCTTATTCACATCAACTAATTCTGCCATCATTGTTGGATTAATATCCACTTTCGTTGTTTTGCCTTTCTTTTCTTTACCTCTATCTTTACTTTTAGCATAATTTCTGATTATAATTGTATTTGTATTTAAAGAATTTATACCTTCATAGCTTTGTAAGAGGTTAGGTTTTAGATTCCTTAAACATTTTGAAAACACTAAACGCTGCATAAAACGACTAGCCATTTTGTATTAAAGCTTACTATTGTCGCAACCAGATCAAAATAAATAACTTCTGGGGAGTATATACATTTTAATTGTTATTTACTCTCAAGCGCAGGCGGCAGGCTATAGTCTTTCGACCATACTGCGTAGTCTTTCGTAGAATATTGACTATTGAGTATGCAGATTGCAGATAGCAAAAAACAGAACCTAGATTATAGATAGCATAAAAAGTTTAAATATAGTTCAAATTTCCTTAGTTTGACATCTATAACGATTTTGACTTTCAGAATTCAGATATTATGGCTTAATTTTGTAGCCTAATGTTATTTGAGATAGCAATCGCAATCGCAAATTTAAATAAATTATAAATCACAGGCTAACTAGGTAGATGTAGTGTCACAGAGCACGTCATCTTGATTCGTGAAATATAATTTCACGAATTATATATATATATTATAAGCAGAAATTGCAGTAGGTAGTTTCGATACCCAGCCGCCTTTTATAAAAGAAAGGCCTCAATGTGCGGGGGGCTCATTTGCCGCTCGGACGTGAACAAGTAAGGTGGTTGGTATCGAGGCTGCATACTGTGAGTTCGTTCCATGTTATTCAGTGATTTTGGTGTAATAGTTTTAAGGTTAACGGTTGTTTTTAAAATACTCGTTTAGTTAATTAAGTCGTGTTGTTTTGATTTTATAAGATTAACTTTAAGGTAGATTTAGTGTCTTTCGAATATACCGTGTTTTGTTATTTAATAAAGTTATTTTTGGTTAAGTCACTTCTTAGGTTATTTCTAATTGTTTTTTTTATTTATTTTGATTATTACTTCCGGTTACTAAAATCAGAAGTGGGATAGGATTTCGCTCACAAATAAGCCTTGCAAACGAGCAAACAACCGTTAATTTTAAGAATAAGATGCCCCGTGCTTACCGTGAACGATCAATTAGGACGCTGCCGCCTCGCTCTGATATTGAGCGTAGCCATCGAAAGCGGTCTGTGCGAGACAGTAGGCAGTGTTTAAGTCATGATGCAGTGCGTTCATATTCGCGTCGCGATAGGTCACGCTCGCATCGCGAAAGGTCACGCTCGCATCGCGAAAGGTCACGCTCGCATCGCGATAGGTCACGTTCGTGTCGCGATAGGTCGCGTTCGCTTTCGCGCCATGAAAGGTCACGCTCATATTCGCGCCGTTTCCTCTCGCGCAATAATAGATCGCGCTCGCGACACGATATAACTCGTTCGGGCCGTGATCGCCCTCTTTCTGGTGACAAATATTCATGCGACAGGTCGAGGTCCCGCTCAGTTGGTTTACGTCGTGGAACTAGTAAAACTCGATCCAACCCTCTAGATGCCTCTGTAAAAGATGCTTTAGGGTCAATAATGTCGCGATTGACTGCTATTGAGGAGAATACGGCCAGTGGCTCGCACGTACCGTCGTCCGTCCGTTGTAGCACACCTCCGCTTGATAAAAATAACGTTTCCGCTACTCAAGCGTTCGTTGAAGCTTTAGGTATGTTAACGAGGCCTAAACCTAGCAACTATTATGTATCTAATTTTGATCCGGCTGTCAATAACTTTGGGGTGTGGTGCGCCGAAGTAGAGCGGGCTATACGGGCAAATCATTGGGACGACTATGAGTGCTTCTCTCGAGTAGCTAATTGCCTAAGAGGTGACGCAAAAGCCTGGTTAAATGAATGGGCTACTAACGAGCGCTCATGGTCAAATTTCGTTAGAGAGTTTAGGTCCTTGTGTCCACAAACGGTAAACTACGCGCAAATTCTCCACGAAGTCATTAACTCTACGTCAGAAAAATTTATGTCATACGCGGAATTCGCGCGTCGTTCGTTGTTGCGTTTACGTCTTGTAAATGGATTAAGCGAGGAACTTATGGTTCAAATTGTGATTTTTGGTATTAATGATGTACAAGTGCGCGCCGCAGCTACTAACGCCGACTTAACGACAGAAAATCTCGTCTCATTTTTAGCCACCTATGTTAAGTCTGCCCGCAAGTTCGATAATCGCAACCCTGATAGGCCGAAATCGTTCAATTCTAGTGCAGCTAAGAAGCGTAATTTTGGTAGTTCGAGTAAACCAGAAAATAAATGTTTTGTCTGTGGTGAAAGAGGTCATTTTAGAGATAAGTGCCCTAAGAAGCGAAATGTACCTGAAAATACTGATGATAGGCCGGTTTGTTATTTTTGTAAGAAGCGTGGACACAGAGAAAGTGACTGCTTTGCGAAAGCTCGATCTGCGGTTCAGAGCGGTAATAATAGTAACCAGCGAAGAGTGAATTTATGCAACGAGCTTTTAGCCACAAAGAACAACAACGACATTAGTACAGCCGTAATCCAGGGTATACCCGTCGACATTTTAATAGACAGTGGCGCACTCAATGTTTCTTTGATATCATCTGCGGTAGTAAACTACTTTTCTGGTTCACGCAGACCGATTAACTGTTCTTTGAAGGGAATAGGTGACAAAGAGTTTGTCGCCCACGAATATATTACTTTGACAGTCGAACTACGTAATATCGCGCTTGAAGTTGATTTTCTCATTGTACCTGCGTCGTATATGAATACGCCGATCATAATAGGGACAGACGTTCTCAATCGTGATGGCGTCACGTTTATTCGCACGAAACATGAACAATACCTAACTCACACACCAGATAGGGTACTAGGGGTGAATGCTGTGAATGCTAACGGGTTCGACAACATAAATACGCCTCTCGAAGGTGCGGAGCTTGCCAATAATTGAAATTAAAATTAAAAAAATTGATGGCTGTCATAGAACAATTCTCTCCGTTTTTAATATCCGGTACAGCAACAACGACGGTGACTACGGGTAAAATGCACATCAGCTTGATGAACGACGTACCTATCGCATACCATCCGTATCGTCTGTCATACCCTGAGAAACTTAAAGTTCGGGAGATTTGTCAGGATCTGTTAGATAAAAAGATCATCCGAGAGTCTGATTCTGAGTATGCAAGCCCTATCATTTTGGTCAAAAAGAAAGACGGTTCAGATCGAATGTGCGTTGACTTTCGAGCACTGAACCGAATCACTGTCAAGGATAGGTATCCTCTACCATTGATCGATGACCACATTGATCGGCTTGGGTGCTCTAGATTCTTCTCATCATTAGATATGGCATCAGGGTTCCATCAGATCCCAATCGACGAGAGTTCAATCCACAAAACTGGTTTTGTTACTCCCGAGGCTCATTATGAGTATCTTAAAATGCCGTATGGATTATGTAATTCTCCCACAGTTTACCAGCGCATTATTAATAACACTTTACGTAAATTTATAGAGGCTGGTAATGTGCTGGTGTACATTGACGACGTTCTTATTGTAAGCATGTCTATTGACGATGGTATTTCTCTATTATGTGATGTTTTGAAGACTTTGACAGAAGCTGGATTCTCTGTCAATTTGCGAAAGTGTTGTTTCCTCACCACTAAAATAGAGTACTTGGGCCGTGTTATCAGTCATGGTCAGGTTAGGCCGAGTCTGCATAAAATTGAAGCGTTGGTTAATTCACCTACTCCAACTAACGTCAAGCAGGTACGTCAATTTTTAGGTTTAGCTGGATACTTCCGGCGTTATATTGAAGGCTACGCGACAAAAACCGCATGTATATCGCGTCTCACTAAGAAAGTCGTCAAATTTGAATGGGGACCCGAACAAGATCAAGTCCGACGAGAGCTCTTAAAGCAATTAACCAGCGAGCCTATACTTGCGATTTTTGACCCGTGCCTTCCCACTGAACTACACACCGACGCTAGCAGTGCAGGATATGGTGCCGTGCTCATGCAGGCCCACACGGATGGTAATAAACGAGTAGTAGCCTATTTTAGTAGGGTTACCCAGGGTGCGGAGCCCAAGTACCATTCATATGAATTAGAAACGTTGGCGGTCGTCAAGGCTCTGCAACATTTTCGGCATTACCTGGTTGGTATAAGTTTTAAGATAATCACCGATTGCAATGCCTTGAAGGCCACCGAACGTAAGAAGGATCTTCTTCCACGAGTCGCACGCTGGTGGATTTACATGCAGGACTTTAATTTTGAAATTCAATATCGTAAAGGTACTATGATGGGTCATGCGGATTACTTGAGTAGGAATCCACCAGCGTTGCAAGTCAATAACATAGAACGGCCCTTGAACTGGGCGCAAATGGCCCAATCAGCCGACTCCGAGACCGCCGATCTCATACGTAAGCTCGGAGAAGGTAATTTAGATCCAAGACGATACGTATGTCAAAACGATGTGCTCTATTATCGTTATTCACCCGTTGGTGAGGAGCCGCGTTTACTTTGTTATGTACCCAAGGGTCACAGGCTTAGCTTACTGAGGGTATTCCATGACGAACATGAGCATATCGGGGTTGACAAGACTTATGACCTAATTTTAAAACACTTTTGGTTTCCCGGTTTAAAGCAATTTGTTCGTAAATATACGTCCCATTGTTTGGTTTGCATTTCTAAGAAACGCGTCCCCAGAGCCCCACATCAACCCATTACATCATGGGAAAATTCGGATGTTCCGTTTAATACCATTCATGTTGATACGTTGGGTCCGTTGCCCGAGTCTAATGGATACAAGTTTGTGCTAATTGTGGTTGACTCATTTACTAAATTTTGTTTACTGTATCCTATGTATAGGCAGGACACAAATGAATTAAAACGAGTTTTCGATAGAGCAATTTCTTTATTTGGTACGCCTAAGCTCATAGTGTGCGACCGTGGTCGAATGTTTGAAGCGTCAGCCTTCACCAGTTGGGTGTCTGAAATGGGCTGTGATATCCATTACGTAACGCCCGGAATGCATCATTCAAACGGGCAAGCTGAGCGTTATGTAAGAACCGTTCTTAATTTGCTTCGAATAGAGAGTAACAATAAAGCTTCAACTTGGTCTAATGCTTTGGGTAAGATTCAGTTAGTTTTAAATGTAACTAAACAAAAAACCACACAATATTCTGCTTTGTATTTGTTAATCGGTACTCATGCAGCCACTCCTGTCATCCGTGCACTGGTCCGCGATGTTGCCATCGATAGCTCAAGCCCCAATCGTGAAGCCTTGAGGGAACTCAGCAGAAGCTCTGCCAAGGCATCGCTCGATAGAAATCGAGACAGACAAGATGCTCGGGTAATAATATCGGGTAAATCGTCGAAGACACCCGCCCAAGCGATTCCAGGTCAACGATCAAGTATTCGTAATCAAATATACACAGTCAACTGGGAAACTTGATCCCGGTATGAGAGGACCTTACCGTGTTATCAAGGTGTTACCTAGTGACCGCTACGAGCTGAGGTTACTAAGCGGATCCAGGGGCAAGAAAACTCAGGCCGCATCTCAGTATATGATCCCTTGGAAAGGCGAATGGTGTCCTGAGAGTTGTGCCGCATTTTTCGAAAGTAAGTTTCAACCCTGTTACTAATATGTTATTTCCTTATGTTAAGGATGCGCGCGTGATATACGTGCGAGTGTGAGGCGACTGTGTGCCTTGCTGGTTGAAACGGACTGCCAATATGGTGCGGTCATGGTGTGTTCCTGAGGCCATCAACCCTGAGAAGCGGGCCTCGGCAGACGTGCATCCTGTGCGCGTGGCGGGCACTGTCCCGAGTGGTGTGTTCTTTGAACGCACTTCAGGCGCAGTCCTGGCAGCCTGAGTGCTGGTGCTCTTTTGAGAGTGTTACGGGCGCTGTCCCGAGTGGTGTGTTCTTTGAACGCACTTCAGGCGCAGTCCTGGCAGCCTGAGTGCTGGTGCTCTTTTGAGAGTGTTACGGGCGCTGTCCCGGGTGGTGTGTTCTTTCAACGCACTTCAGGCGCAACGGGGAACTTGTACAAGTTCAAGTATGAGAATGTGTGACATGTCTTGCGAGATGATGTATGCATACTTTTGAAAGTGAAGTGTTTTAGCTAAAGTTGTGGAAGTGTGCTTTTGTATCAGGGCCTTGAATGAGTGATGAATGACAGACTAGGCACTAACGTAATGTTGATGTTAATTAACTAACAGAATAATTGTTGCACAGATTGCGATGACGAATACCCCGATGACGTTGGCGAGCCTTCAGCTGCGTGTGCTAGTCCTGCTGCTTCCTCAAGAACACTCGAACCACATATGGGTGAACATGGTGACCAAGATACCGTCATGCCTTCCACCAGTTCTTCCAAAGAAGAGATCAACAGTGCATCCGAGGACGGTGCACAGTCAGGAGAGGCCGTATAAGCAGAAATTGCAGTAGGTAGTTTCGATACCCAGCCGCCTTTTATAAAAGAAAGGCCTCAATGTGCGGGGGGCTCATTTGCCGCTCGGACGTGAACAAGTAAGGTGGTTGGTATCGAGGCTGCATACTGTGAGTTCGTTCCATGTTATTCAGTGATTTTGGTGTAATAGTTTTAAGGTTAACGGTTGTTTTTAAAATACTCGTTTAGTTAATTAAGTCGTGTTGTTTTGATTTTATAAGATTAACTTTAAGGTAGATTTAGTGTCTTTCGAATATACCGTGTTTTGTTATTTAATAAAGTTATTTTTGGTTAAGTCACTTCTTAGGTTATTTCTAATTGTTTTTTTTATTTATTTTGATTATTACTTCCGGTTACTAAAAATACACTTCTGGACACATCTATTGGCCCACCTTGCATTTTCAGTTTCTTATGATCCTACCTAAAAATGTATATTAGGTCGAGTAAAAAGTTTTTATGCAGTTTTGAACCTGGTACATTCATAATTGCATTCAATATATTTTTTTTAATTTCGAACACAGAATTTAAAGAAACAAAACACAATTTGGAGCCTGCTCATTGATATCAAACAATCGAATACTAAGAAAACTTGATTTTATTGGTTTAGTTGGATTTAATTCTTGAAAGTGTGATTTTTCTCTTTGGTTTTGCAACAAACATTACTTATTCTTAACATTAAGATGAGGTTCTATCAATAATCTATGGATACTTCGCCTGTAGTAGCCGCCCAAGCTGTGGCACTTATCCGGGCCGGACACAGCCAAAGCAATGTGAGTGATCAACTTAATTTAAGTCGATCTGCGGTCCGAAACGTTTATCGGAGATACCTAGAGACTGGCGGTTTTGTTCGTCGCCAAGGAAGGCCACGATTTCGGGTCACAACTGAAAGGCAGGATCGATTCATCGTGACGACCAGCTTGAGAAATCGTCACCTTACCTCCATTGAGATACAAAACCAACTTCGCGACTTCCATGGAGTAAATGTGAGCCCTCGAACTGTTCGAAGAAGATTAAAAGAACGCGATATGGTACCACACAAGCCAGCTAATGGCCCAAAACTAACGCGAGCCCACCGAATAGCGCGCCTTCATTTCGCGCGCTCACACTTAAATTGGACTCAGCAGCATTGGAACGGTGTACTCTTTTCTGATGAGTCTAAAATTGCGTTACATGGCAATGATGGAAGGAAGAAGGTCTACCGACGTAAGGGAGAGCGTTTTGCACAATGCTGCTTTGAAGAGAGGGTTGCTTATGGCGGTGGCTCATGGACTGTCTGGGGCGGTACATCCGCGAGCGGCAAAACTCAACTTGAGGTTGTTACGGGACCATGGCTGCCAACATTAAATGCTGAAAGGTACATTCTTGAGTGCTTAGAACCTCACGTGATGCCATACGCGGACTATGTGGGCCCAAATTTCCTTTTTATGCATGATAATGCAAGAGCCCATACGGCCGGCATCGTCAGAGAATATTTTCGGGATGTGAACATCGCAGTTATGCACTGACCAGCCAGAAGCCCAGATATGAACCCCATTGAGCACATGTGGGATAAGCTAAAAAGACGTGTTAGGGCTCGTCAGCCAGTTGCCCAGACGATGCAGGAATTGAAAACTGCCATAGAAGAGGAATGGGAGATGATCCCTCAAAATTTCATAGAGCGGTTGATAAACTCTATGCCTAATCGTATGAGAGCTGTCGTAGATGCCCATGGAGGCAACACGCGTCATTAAATTAAACCTTTATTTGATAAAACACGTTTTTTATTCAAAAATCAATGACTTCATCAAGGCGCATACCCGACTTGTTAGGCGTATCTCCATGTGGTGTGGTATTCTAAATTCAAATTTAAAACAATACGATCGAAAAAGATGGTAAAATGTATCAGGTTCAAAACTGCATAAAACTTTTTACTCGACCTAATATAAATTTTTAGGTAGGACCAAAAGAAACTGAAAATGCAAGGTGGGCCAATAGATGTGTCCAGAAGTATATAATTAACGACGAAGCATAATTCATAGCTTACATTTTTCATGATGACACCTATAATAAAATTGCAGACTGCTCACTGCAGTTAATGAGTTTTGACAGTAGTCGTCAACAAAAATATTTTCTATTTGATCTGTAAGTATAATGATAGTCTTTCTAGTTTGTGGATATCTGTGAATTGTGATTATTTCAGGAGCAATATTATCATTTTGGGATTGCTTAGATTTAATTTAATTTCCTAGTATTTTTAAAATGTCTGTGTTATTACAGACAATTAAATTGTGTCTTAATAGAAAACCTTATAATACCTCTTATTGTAAATGCTTCTCCTTTAGAAATAAATCAGGTATTATCTAATATTATCAATACATTATAATAAATTTGTTACAAATAGGTTATATTTTGTTTTAAATTTTCAGATAATTCTAAAAGATTTATTACATTTGACGAAGTTGTGGCACAAAGAAGAGCCGAAGCACAAAAAAGTCTCGTAGTTCAAGTAAATTCAGAGTCCTCATTTAATGAACTGTATGGATATTGTTCAAAATATGCAACTGTAAATGATGTTCACCATTATAAAAACTCAAATGACGAGGTAAAATACCATGATAAATAGTTTATTTAGCGAAGAGTATTAAAGAAGGTTTACCATATACATATCTTTCATAATTATAAAACTTTCAACAGAACTTTATATCAGCACTTATTAACTTGTTTCTTGCAGCATTATATGCTTATTGAATTTAGCTCTGAAGATAACATGAAGGATGTTTTACAAGCGTGTAGTGCTCATCAAAAAGATGTTGATATTATGTCTGTACAGTCACCATTTCTTTGGTTTCGTGCTGCTTCTGGAGCAAAAGAAAAATTTCCTGCTAGTAATAAATTATTAGCAGTGAAACATGGTAGTTGTAAAATTGATGAAGATGTATTGTTTGATGAACTACAAAACTGTGAAACAGTCTCACATCAATTGCAGCTACTCTATGATCAAACAAAGTTGAATGATATGGATGTAAGGTTGCGGTATATGGTAGCTAGGCAGGTTGGTTATCAAAATAAATTTCAATGAAGTTATTCTTAAATTGTGTTTAGAGAAAAATTAATTCAAAGTACATTTATTTTTAGCTTGAAGTGATATGCAGCAGTCTTTATGCAAACATAGCAATCAAGCCATTTGGTTCATCAGTGAATGGGTTTGGTAAAATGGGCTGTGACTTGGACCTTGTTTTAACAAATATTGTAGCCCCTGAAATGGTAAATGTTATTTCAAATTATTAAATTGCCCTGAGTTTTGTAATTTTAGACTATCCTATCTTTTAAATGTTAAAAGAAATGTCTTTAAGTAATTTTTTTTAAACAATAACTATAGAATATTATATAATATATTAAAAACCACTGCAGTTTACTATGTTACAGTGTTCTCATCAAAACAGTTTTCTTTTGCCTTTGTTGTTACACTAGTTCACAATATTGTACTGTCATGAAGTTACAGATGGACTCCAAAAGGCGTTTAGTATATCAAGAAAAAAAATGTGAAGGTGGAAGAAGCCCTTGGCAGCGCCATATGGAATTAGTGGCAACATTACTTGAGCTGCGTGCCCCGGGTGCAGCCAGAGTGACCAGGATATTAAATGCTAGGGTGCCCATAGTTAAATATTCACATGAGATGGCTGATCTAGAATGTGACTTGTGCTATAATAACACGTTAGTACAAATTTTTCAATAAATAAATTATATAATTTGTAATTTCCACCATGTCAAAAGAGTGTCAATATTCATTCAAAACATATTAAAGTAAGACCTGGAGACTCCAATATCAACTGATTTTTGCAGTTCTGGAGTATACATGTCCGAGTTGCTATGGTTACTTGGGTCTCTAGATTCTCGAGTCAGGCCTCTAACATTTGCTGTGCGGCGCTGGGCGCGTGCCTGTTCTCTTACGAGTCCACATCCTGGAAGGTGGATAACTAACTTCCCTCTGACACTGATGGTCCTTTTTTTTCTTCAGCAGAAAAGAAATGATGGTATTGTACTGCCAAGCTTGAAGTACTTGGTAAAAATGTCTAGTAAGTATCACTTCTACTGTTTAACTTTTTATTAAGTGTTGCGTAAGACGTTCTAACACAGATTTTTTTAGTTTAAACTGAATAAGTTACAGTGTTTTTAGAAAAATGTTATTCTGCTTAAGTCTTTTTTCTCATTTTGTTTGGAAGTCAATGCCTTTTTGCCTATAGGGAGTGTACGACGCTGTCAGTTATCATGATTTTGCATACCCAGTTTTTTCAACAAATTTCAAAAGAATTTTTATTTGAAAATCCATTGTAATACTTATTAAATCTGTGTGTGTGTGTGTTTCCTGTTTGTTTAGTATGTTTATTTACTGCAGGTAAAGAAGATGTCCGCATAGCCGAAGAGAATCTCAACTGTACATTCCTACGTGACCTAAACAAATTACCAGAAGACAGCTATAGTCAAAGCAAAGACGACTTACAAACTCTTCTATTTCACTTCTTTGAATTTTACGCGCAATTCGATTTCCAAGACAGAGCCATTTCTATTAACGAAGGTGTTCCAATCCGAAAACCGAATGCGTTACCGCTATATATTGTCAATCCTCTAGAACCATCGCTAAACGTGAGCAGAAACGTCAGTTTCGAAGAGTGTGAGAGACTTAAAATGGAAGTGAGAAATGCAGCATGGCACTTGGAGAGTGTTTTAGATGGCAAGAAAACAGACGATTGGGGCCTATTAGGGCTCATAGAAAAAAAGACCACGAGAAGTCTCAAAAAATTACTGCGAGTCGGAAACACACATAGATTAGTTTCCGTAAAAGACTTATTTGTCGAAGACGGCGAAGCTTCAGAAATAAAAAAATTAAAGACTGATGAAGATATAGAAGATAGTGTGAAAGATATAAAAAATAAATTGGAATCGAAAGACCAAAAAGAGCGAAGATTGAAATTTAAGAACACACAAGTTGCTAACGAAGTGTACAGGATAAAACGGAATAAATTATGATTGTCTTTAAATTCCTAGCGAGTGGGGTGTATCAGTATGATTTATATGAGAATAAAAAAGGAACAGTGATCATAAAGAATTTTTAAACCAGTGTTTCATCTTAAACAGAACATTCTTACAAAGACAAATGATTTTGATGAAATAATGTAAAATATATATAGAAAAAGCCTTCTAAATTGTATGTATGTGATGTTGGATGATATTTTAGAAGATTACTTTAGGTATGTGAGCTAAAGTTTGTAAGTTTTCCTCGAAATCAGAAACTAAAATTTCATTCCCAATCATTTCAGTAATTTGAGTAAAATAGTGACGGATCTGACAAAAACTAAACTTTACAGGGCAGTCAATTCAAAATAATATAATCATGTTAGTTTTTGTCATAACTATTTTAATTCATATTCTTTTATTATGAAAATTGGCATACAAGCAAACAAAAGGGTTTGTTTTGAAACAAAATAAAAATAATAACATTAAATTACACATTTTTCTAGAAAAATCACGTTTCTATCAAATCCGTCACTTTACCGGCTGATTAATTTAAAATTTAAAACACATGGATTTTTTTTAATGTAGCCGTAATATTTAGTCAATGTAGTATTCAAATACGATAAAAGTAGATTTTGGATTTTTTTCAAATCCGACATTGTTCTATGATCATGACGAAATGTATGTTATTACAACATATTTAAAAAAAACTTAATTTATACATAGGCCTTTCGTTATACCAAACGGAAAGATAATTATTAAAAACCAATTTTTGTCAGATTTGTTCCTGTAAATTAAAAAACAATTGTAAATAAAAAACGTTACTTATTTAAATATGTTTTTATTCATAACAATTTTAAACATGAAGTTTTATTGCAACGGCTCAACCGTTTGTCATAACATTTGCACATAGATATATTGGCTTTTATTTGTAACTTAAAACAAAGAATAATTACTCAATATTAAGAGAATAATTAAATTATACTGAAAAATCACATTTCTGTCCTGGTATTTGAGATATGATACAATAGTGCTACTTTGGCATTCGTAGTATTATTTTTATGAAATTCACTTAAGTTTTGGCCACACAAAGACTCAAATGTTTGTCTATACCTATTTATACTATAATGCACATATCGTAGAAGATCTGACTTTTCCCACTTTTGTAGTGCGCGTGCGCATGTTGACGTAAAAACTGTTTCTTCGGAGAAAATGTTGTACCGTTCATTTGTGTCGAAGACACGACACTGGAATTTAGAGAATTAATTTAACTTTAAAAAATAATAACAATATATATATATATATATATACACGTAATGTCATAAGACAAAGTTACTTTGGGACTCATCCAATCTCCCGGTTAAAAAAAGACATTTTTGCATATGTATCTGAGAAAGCTAGAAAACTATTTTGTGACAACTCGAAACTAGAACTCATGATCTCTTACAGTTACATTATAAAGTTACCTCATCATTAACTTCATCGTTCATGCAAACTTCACTCTTAAAGTCCAACAAAGAAAGAACGCATAATATCTCCTTCCCATTTTTGCAACTACCCACAATTTGCATCAAGAACTCTATAGCTCTACTGGGTATCACGTGACTGTCGTGGGAATGATTTCTATTGTACAAATTGGTTATTATACAAGCGATCCTCTGTCTGTATGTCTGTTCGTCATCTTCTAATAATATGGCGATGGTGCAGAACAGAGTCGCTTTGTATTCAACTGAAAAAAATCATTGTATTGTGAAATTGTTTCTTGCAATGTTTTTCACACAATTAAGTACACAAAACTCGCGACTTTAAGTGAATTACAATCTAGCCTAAACAGTTATGGTTAATAACAATACAATAACAATTTGGAAAATCGAAGAACAAATAAAATAAAGGATACATTTCAATTTTAATACAAAATGTTCATGGGTTTCGTAACTGTTGTCAAATATTTATGCGTGCGTTCAGACATTGATTTCGAGTAAACTAAGGAAAATGTATGAAACTACTTAAATATACAACACTTTTTATGTTATTGTCTTAATCAAGTAGTGAACTTACTATTTATTTTGTATTCATTGTAGTAATAAAAGCATGACTGTTAGCCGGTACGAAGTTCGCCGGGTCAGCTGGTAGATAGATAAATCTTATAATTTATACAAATTTTATACTCACACAATTCACTTTCATCCAAATCGATATCCATAGCCAATAACCTCTCGAAGGCCTCCTCTAAAAACTCAACAACGACCTCTCTAGTATTATCCGCGTTATGAGAAAACGCACACGCGAAAACCACCCTTATTGCTTCCAAAACACTTTTCCCGGACAAACTCGATCCTATGATCTTTTTACTTAAAAAACCCGTTAAACTCTTCAAGTAAATATGGGTTAAATTCTCATGTTCGGAATCGAGTAAAAATATCAACGATTCTAGTAAAACTGTATCGTTTACATGTTTTTTCTTTAACTTAGCGTTTATTATGTCCTGTTGCGTATTTTCTTCTAGAACCAACAATTGCAGCGCTTTTTGCGTACATTCAAGGTATTTGCTATCCAATACATTGCATAAAAGCTGTATATAATTGCCCTTTCTCAATAATCGCATGGAATTGGATATAATCTGTATTTTATTCTGTGTTGCCAGCGAGTTTAATGCAACTAAAACTATTTCATACGTGTCGTGTTTTAAGCATTTTTGTATAAAAACACTCGTTTCTTCTAAATCGTTGTGAATATTTAAAATGCTAAAGTGAAGTTTGACAACGTTCGCTAAACAGACGAATTTTCCCGAATTAATAATAGATTTCGATCCATTAAATAAAATATCATTTAAGAGCGGTTTTATATCGTTAATTAATTTTGCGTAAATTTCTTCTGGAAATCTGAAATAAGTATTCAACAAATATTATGACAAGCAAAATCAAAATTAGGAAATTGTATGTCCTATTTGGCACAATAGCGATGTTTTATCCGACTTAAAAAAATGAATTATGTGATATTGTCGAAATTTAATAATATTTGAAAATGATAATTTATTTAGGCTCCCAAGCTAGTATCCTAAATCCAATTTGGTATGTATGACAATTTCTCAGAAATTAAATCATATAAAAATTTAAAAGTTTCATTTAAATCAGCTCAGTAGTTTTGGAGATATCTTAATCATGTTGACTAGTTACAGAAGTGGGTTTGATGTTTTAAAATTATTTTTTCTTTACCATACAAGCAGGTGAACAACTGTGCTAAAACCAACAAACATTTAATATTTATATACAAATATATCTTTAAAAAAAATTACCTTTGTATAATTAAATCGACCATTTTGACATAATCATCGGTGAGTAGATAACAAGGCATGCGCGTGAGTGTCTGCTCCACGATCCATTTCGTGTTTAAAAGAACTTCTTCTAGATCATTTAATTTATCATCAAAACATAGATCATCCGGCTGGGCTTCGAATAGTTTTATTAACTAAAAAAAATTCTGGTGAAACTAAACTTTTACGAGTTAATGTATGAGAGAGTTAAACAAATCTAGGTAAAATGATACCTGTAATATGACCCCATGGCAGTAATTTTTCTTAATCAGACGATCCTTCATCAACTTTAACATTGCCTCAACATGCAATATATACCTGCAATTTCATTATTATATTTTTTAATAAGTATTATTATGATATAGTCTGGAAATAATCTGGTCGAGTCAATTGACCGTTGATTTTTATTGTTGTTTATTAATCATTGCGATTTCTCCAATTTCCTGTTAAGAATCATAATTGAATTAGATTTTAGTTATTATTAAATTGTTTCATAGTTTGGAATCATTACCTAACGAATTACTTTACTTTTAGGCGATTAAAAAGAGTGGCGGAGAGTTTATTGCCACTTCTTCTCTTCCGTTCTACGCCCTTGATTTGAGAACTGGCAGTAAATGTAAAATTAGAAGCATTTAATGTATATTTCTTTTTTTGACGTTCATAAGTGTACATTGTGTTACCTATAGGAATAAATGATTTTGAATTTGAGAAAAAGTACGAATATTGTTACGACCAATCAGAGCAGAGCCTATGCCTCGAGTGCGGTTGAGGCGCCATCTTGATTCTTAACAGTGCATAAAATAAATTTTTACTTATTAAATATTAAAGTGAATTATAATTCGTTAAAGATCAGTATCAGTACAGACTTCTCTAGAATGGGAGATTAATTTTTTGAAGTGAAAACTTCTTTAGCGGGTTGTACACCTTTTTTGGAATGGGTAAAATTTTTTTATTTTTTTTTTATAAATTGTCATGTTTGTGTACGATAGCGCAATAAATAAATATTGTATTCTACCACATAAATGATAGTTTTAATTATTATTATTCCCTAACCATTCCAAAATATAAAATGCACAATGATAATATTAAAGTTTTACCTTCTGCCGGCACTCCCGGAGTGCAAACCGTCCTTTTTTTAAAAATAAAACTTGAAAAACACTCACATATGCGGCGATATGAGCGGAACCATCGCTCTAGCGGCCAATTGCCGAGTCTTAAGCACGGGGCTACCCGCGCACGACAACACCAGTGGGATGAATGACACGAGCTGAAAATTTATCAATTTTTTATGAGACGAAGATTGATTTTCTAGACGCAAAAACAGTTTTAAGTGCTATATATATATATATATACCTTTATATTAGAGACGGTTCCCTCCAAGGCAGACGGGTAAAGCCTGGCAAGGAGAAGCAGGACAGGATACACGGACGGACGAAGCAGCTTGTCCGAATCGTTTGCTTCCGCTAACTTATTCTGGAATATGTTGGACAATAAATAAAACAAAAAAACAAAAGATTTCTCTCTCACAAAAACCTACCCCCATGTAATCCGCAAGCGCCGGGTATCGTAAAAAGAATATGCGTCCGGTCATCCGGTTGCGAGTACATAGATTATCCGGGTCCTTGCCCCGAGTCACCCCGAATATCCGGACCATCAAAGCACTGAATAGCAGCGTCGATGAATTTCTTTCCTAGAAATATAC